AGCCTATTAAGTTAAGATGGGCTATCTATACCAATTTTTTTGTTCTAGGCAGCTCAGTATGGTTATATATTTGCCAGGCTTAGTGCTGGTATGCTCTAAATGTCTAAATATCTCTATTTGTCTGTTGTAGAATAAATGAGTATATAAGTTTTTTCCTGGACATACACCTGACATAAGGCTAAAAGTGGAAAATGCAATTTTCTTCAAAGAAATATCTCTTATAAATCACTTGTCTATGACAATCATTTCATTAATATTTTAAAAGGCACTGGTGGCCTGGTCAAGGGATCACTACATTTTCAAAGGTAAATCATTTATTTTCACATCACAGGCCAGAGCAAATGTGTTACCATCACATCAGTCCTTTAATGCAGATATGGCCCCTGCATTATAAGCAGATGTGAGCTGTTGAAACCTCAAGGCTTGGTCCTTTTGGAACCCTGTTTGCTAAGAGCAAGGAGTAGTGAGGACTACCTGCTTTGGAGTTCGATTGGCCTGAGGTTGAATCATGGCTTTGAAGCATATTAGGTAAATGACCATAGGCATACTGTGCAGTTCCTCAGTGGACTGATCTGAAAATGAGAGTAATTATACCAAGCCATATGATTATTTTGTGTGCTAAAAAAAAATCTATATACTGGCTAACATAAAATAGGTTGTTTTAGCACTCTCAGTCACAAATCTAGAGGAAAATGAGAGGAGTGAAAAAGAAGAAAACTGGCTAAAAATTTAAAAATCAATTAGCTTTCATTACTAAAATATTAAGTGTTCAAACAAATTCTCAGGACTTGATCTTGCTGCATTCTTCAGCCTGTTCTTTTTTTTTTTCAGCCTGCTTTTCTTGATATTTGCTTTATTATAAAGGTTCTTGTAATATTGGATCCCTGTAACTCTTTATTCATATTTTACCAGTTTCCAATCTAATCTAGGAAAATAATCTAATCTACAAAATCTAAACTAGGAAGAGCAACTCTCCTTCGAAATACAGACAAAAGACCTGGCCTCACTCTGATTGAATCAGCTTTTACATTCCTGAAACAATCATTGGTCTGGGGACATTTGTTATTTTGATTGTCTAGACCTAGGTCACGTACTCACCTCTGGAATTAGGGAGGGTTTCAGCTCCTCCAAAGAGTCAGGACAGAAAGTAGAAAGTATGGGAAGCATGATTCCCCAAAGGAAAATATAGGTAGTGTTATCAGAAGAAAGAAGAATGGATGTCAGATGGAAAAATCAGAAAAATGTCCACTCCATTAGCATTTAACTGAATGGCAGTTCTTATTTGCATTTTTAGGCCATTTAAAACATCCTATTAAGTCCACTATATTAATCACTCTATTTAACAACTTTATTGAAAAAATATATTCAGATTTCTAATCTTGGAATTGCAGTACATCTTCCTTTGCTTCAAGGTGAGTGTGACAAGCAGGAATTGCACAGCACAGGTATGAGGAACTCTCGTTGAACTTTTATGAGCCTCATTTTCTGTTCCACTTCCTAGGGAGTAACCAACCACTTTTCCTTGCTTTTGGCCAAGGTATATAACAGATATGTGTGTGTGTGTGTGTGTGTGTGTGTGTGTGTGTGTGTGTGTGTGTGTGAGAATATATATATAATGTTTTTCTCCCTGCAAAATATAACAGATTATTGCCTCATAACTTTTCTCCCTTCTTGTTCCAGAAGCAAGAAGTAGTTACTTTTTAAAAAGCCTTTTAAGTTATTTTACATTGTTGTTATTGTTATCTAATTGCTAATAACTATATGGAAACCACCACTTCTGGTTTTTCTCTTTTCACTTTGACTCTAGAAGGAAAGACAGGTACATGTAAGTGTTCATAGTGGGCTCTGGAGTATGCCAGGAACTGAGTATGCTCGTAAGGTGCACAGGCACCTTGGATATTGTGGAGTGAATCATTCTAGACTTTGCAAATAAAGGGGAGATTGGGAAAGACTGAGGTAAGCCATCTCTCAACCAGATGGATCATGGTAGTAAAGAATACCAAATGCATGGATAAGGGTGCTCAAGAGCAGGAGGTTTGCAAACTACACTCAGGGGCCAAATTACTGCCTCTTTTTTGTAAAAGTTTTATTTGAATGCAGCCCTACCCACTTGTTTAAGTATCATCTATGGCTGCAATGGCAGATTGAGGATTTATGACTGACACTCTGGCCTTCAAAGCCTACAATATTTACCACCCAGCCCCTTGTAGAAAAAGTTTGCTAACTCCTGCTCCAGAGTAAGGAGGATATCAGTTTAGGATCTAAGAGAATTGCATTTTGGACTAGATTTAGAAGACATGGTCCAGACTCCAGAATCATAACCAGAGAGAAGACTGTCAAGGATTTAAAAAATCAATTCTCAGGTGAAAAGGGCTACATCCAGGTCAGAATCTCAGTCTTGTAGGGCCAGTGTAGAGGTGAGGAGGCAGGGGTTACAACTGGTAGTCAGGGTATCCTTGATGCAATGGATACTCAGTCTGATTGTTGGATACTTTTGTGGTGAGAACTGTGCTGAATTACCAGATTCAAGATCTGGGTAAAAATGACTTACTTTCCTCCACTTTAAAGGTGTGGGTGTCATAATCCAAATTTTCTCCTTGTTGAGATAATTCAGACATGGCAGGGAAATAGGGCCCTGGATACTTCCAGCCCAGAACCAGTGTTAGGGAAGAGGGAAGCATTTTGTTGTGGGAAAGGAGTTCTGCCACTATAGACCTCTATTTAGACTTGTGCCTAAGTGAAGAGAATAGTGAGAAAGCAATAAAATTTCCCAAGTGCCTATGAGCCTGGAGACCTTTTTTTCCTGTTTGTGTATTACTCAGGATCTCAAAGGGCCATAGCTCCTGAAAAGGGGGATCCTTTCTCCCTTGAGTCTGTGGCTTGCAACATGATATTTGAGTCTCTCAACAGGTTGATCTTTTTTGGCTAATCCCATAGCCCAAATTAATTGTTCTTTTCTCTCTGTTCTTATTTCATTTTTATCACAGTAATCAGCCTACATTGCCTTATATTACAATTATATGTGTACATATAATCCTCCCCACTAGACTGGGCATTGTGAGCAAAGACTTAGCTTTGCCCATGTAAATATCTCCTGAATGCTTACATAGTGAATGCGTAATTATAATGCCTGGTGGCTTAAATTGAATTTAATTAAGTGAGGTTTGTTATATCCTGTTAGGACTGTAGAAGATATAGACCCAAGTCTCTTTCCTTATAGCCCATTTTTTCCTATAGTAACTATAACAATTTACTGCTGCACATGAAATCTCCTCCAGCTTAACTGGGTTTGACCTAATCCCTGGTTGGCCAGAGCTGATTAAATTCCCCAGAGGAAACTCAGTCACTGAGGGTCTTTAGTTAAGAAACAGAAAAGTGCTTAAGAAACAGAGACCATCTTTAAACAGAACTACTACAGTAGCTCACGGAACTGAAGTATCCCTGAACGAGCAAGCCCAGGACAGCTCTGAGAACTCCAGGATCAAGAGCTCACAAGCCCTTTGTCCCAGGCACGTCTACGCAAGACTCAGATTCCTAAGATTCTCTTTAAGCCAACCTGATTCAAGAGTCCAATCCTGTGACTAGAAAATAGGTTTTGTTTTGTTTTATTTAATCAGAAATTGTTGTTAAGAGGATGCAAGGAGAGAGAAGATGGGATAAGCAAACAAAAACCAAGTATTACCACAGGAATCTATCCAAAAGCAGACAGAGACACCAAGATTCCCTCTCAACAACGTGGATTTAGAGACAAAAACCCCCCACACAAATGGATGAGTGACTTTTGACTTAAAAGTCCTATAGACCAAGACTGGAGCCATAATGAGGAAGCAGAGGAAGTGGAAAGAACACTGACAGAGAAAGGCAGAGATGGCAGACAAGACAGGCCATGTGGTCCATACAAGATGAACAAGGTGGCTTCATTTCTACTGGCTTCCCCTTCTTTTCTTCAGCCCATGATGGTGTGACTAGTTTTCTGCAACCATTGTGTATTAAGAGATCCCCCAATTTATAAATAGGAAGGTTAGTATTTGCCTCATGTTTTGGAATGTTCAGTTATGGAATAACTGAAATTAAATTTCTCTTACACACCAAAGAGTAGAGAAAAGCAAAGATAACCTCAGGAATGAGACATATCTCCCAATTGCCTATTTTGCCATTCAGTGATAACAATGGCAGTGATTTAAGATATGTTTGACACTTAGTATGTTCCAAGCACTGCTTTAAACATTTACTCGTACTGTCTTCTTAATCCTCACAACAACCCTGAAGTGTAGGTAGAATCACTTCTTCCATTTTGCGCATGAGAAAGCCTAAGATATAGAAAGATTAAGTCATGGGACCAGGATTCAAGTTCCCTAATTCAGTGTCAAAGACTAAATTCTCAGAAGTGCAAATCTCTTCATGAACTACAGAAGCTAAGGAACCTATAGGAAATCTAAGTCTTGGGTAGTTTAAAATATTATAAATACTTCTTCTGGATCAAAAATTTCTCCTTTTTTCCAGATCCTACTCAAATCTCCGAGTTACTATTTAACCTCTGGTTTATCAAAAGCTATTTTTAGCTGGACCAAGAAATAAAGCTTTACATAAACAGCTTCCATAACAGCAATAATAATAGTGACCATTTACTGAGCAATTACAATGCACCAGGCTAGCTTATGAGCACTTTATACTTATTATCTCATTTTATCCTCTTCACAACCTAAGAGGGGGTTATTTCCACTGTAATTATGTAATATTGTTATGTAATAAAATGCTTAAAATACATGCACAGTCATCACACAGTATTTGTATAATACAAATGCAAGTCTGGATATGTGGTACATTTAATAAATATTTGCTTAATGAAAACATGACAGGATTAATTTGCAAAATCATCTCTCTGCTGCCTTTAGCCCTTGAAGAGAGTAGGAAACGAGGAGCTGTCCTTTTTTTTAGGACTTGTCAGAGATGGTTTCACCTGATACTTACACAATATCCTTTCTTTTCTTTTTTTCCAGAGTGATTCAGTCTCAGAATTGTTCTTTAATCTTTAATATCTCCATTAAGAAGAGTTTCTGTCAAGTGCTTCAAAAGAACACAATGTGAAGGAGCAATACTGATCCACTGCTGGTGAGTGAAGTGCGGAGGACGCAGCTTCCTCAGCCAGGCCCTAGTCCTTGTCATCAGGAATGAAAGCTAAAGTTCAAGCAGATGCCAACAACCTCTCTCCTTTTACCTCATTACTCTCTTTTCATTGGGTTCTGTGTATCCTTTGTAGTTCAACATGCAAATTACTTTGAGGAGAGATCCATCCCTAGGCCAATCTAGGTATAAATTAGTTCTCTTGCTAAGGTAGGAAAAAATACTAGTGAACCTTTAAATATTGAACTTGTGGGTCAAGTAATATACAATTCCATTCTTCGTACATTAAAATATTTTGACCATGTTGTTCTGAAACCAAAGCATTAGATTGCTGTTTACTTCTCCATTACATTGCCAGCTGTGGACGTGGCACCTTCAGGAGTTTGTTCTGTGGCTTAAACCATAAAAAAGAGCAAGCTGACAAAATGGGTACATGTAACAAAAAAAATGGGACTTTAAATTTGATATTATATTGTTGATGACAGTTATTTGACTTTTCATAATCCAGTCATAATGAGACAATACTCTGCATAAGCCAAGACCACAGCAAGGATTGATGGTAAGTATCAAGAGGGTGTGGAGGAAGTGGGTTATAACCTCTTTTTTCCTAACTGTTGTAGGGCCTTGTCTTAAAAAAAAATCAGTAACAAAATAGCTCATGAAGACCTGATGTATTTAGGGGCAACAGTAACAAAAATATTAGGTTTATTGAAAGATACATGACTTTTTCACCTTTTTTCCTTTCACGGGGATTTGCTCTTTCCATCAGGCTGTCACTTTATTTTCCCTCAGATGGTATTATTTCATGTCACTGTGTCAAGCTTGGTCTATTGGAAATTCCTATGTCCTTTGTAATTTAAGTTTTAAACAACATATGATTTACCCTGTTTGTTTTTTAAAAAAAATCAGCTGCCTTTCTTGAGTGAGAGACTGTCTGGCATCCTTAATATTCTTCTATAGAAATTGTGGTGAAAGAACAGATAAACCTAAATAAATCCAGTGTGTGGAATGTCTTTAAAATCTGAGGAACTTGTCAATGGGTTAAAAAGTAAATGTTGGCTTTGTTTTAAATACCCTTGCTGGGGCCCATTATGCATAAAAAGGGGCCACAGCCCATTTGCAAGGCCTCTGAAAGAACTCCATTCATTCTGTACTTGGAAATGTCTCTTTAGCCACAGAGAAACAATAGCTATAACCTAATTTCTCTGGTGCCAGTATCAGCAGAGGAAAAGCCAAGAGACTGTTATGAAAACTCTTACTAACTTTTCTTGGTGATTATATAATTCTGTATTCGTTAATCATAGTTATGTATTTAAATAAGCACTTTTCCCAAAAGATTATAAAGTGGTTTGGCAATGCGGTAATACCACATTTCATGCATTGAGCAACATTTTTTAAATGGAATACTCCAAAGTAATTTGCTTATTTGGGATACTAAAGTATATAAAAACATAATATGAGACTTTAAAAGGAAAACCTTTGTGTTTTTAATTATTGTATTTTAAAATCTGATCACTCAAAACTGCAAATCAGCTAAGTTAATCCATTAACCAGTTTCCACGTTTACCTGCAGAAGTCAGTGTACATCTGGAAGTAGTAGTGGTGGTATGATTTCCAAGTGGTATCAAGAGTGAACTTTAAATGCGCATCTGATCTGAGCATATCACTCTTTGTTCAAAACCCTTTGTTGTTAGCCTAGAAGTAAGGCTTCTGTCTCTGTCTATCTGCTTCTCAGCCTTATCTCCCTGCATCCTTCCTTCACTAAACTCTCTCAGTGGGCCTGGCTCTTTCTTCCCACATGATATTGTTTCTGCATGTTCCTGCCTGGAACTCTCTCCCTACCAGCCTGTTTACCCCTTTAATCTGACCAATCCTTACTCTTGAAGTCTTAGCCGTAAGGTTACTTTTTCAGGAAGACTTCTACTTGTATTAACTAACTAATTAGTTGAAAGTCCAGTGTATTTGGGGCTGATTTTATGAGTTTTAAGTTGTTGGGGGTAGTTTGGAACCAAATGGTGAAGGACTTCTAAATTGTGCTTTCCAGGTTTTGAACAGGAAAATGACGTTAGCTCTGTGTTTTTAAAAGTTTGAAGGCTGGACTGAGCCTACGAAGAATGCTTAGCATACCCTCAAATTAATGGTGAGCAGACTAGGAAACCACACTGATCCTTCTGATGATACCATCTTCACTCTCTCCCAAGACTGTGAAAAATCATTGCTCTGATTGCATTCATGGAGACCCTGCTAGTTCATAATTGAAAAATACCATTTGCCAGTAGTATTTTGCTTTATATTGTCATTTACTTTTTGAGTGATGCTAAATATAATATTAACTAAAACTCAAAGACCATTACATTATTAAGTAGGATATAGTGAAGAGTGCAGGTTCTAGAAGAGAAATGGTTTAAAATTCTTGCTATATATACCACTTACTAGGTATATGGACATGCACAGCTATTTAGACAGCTTAAATAGAAAAATAAACTTGAACTGAGGAGTGGAGAGATTGGGACAAGGAAGATAGACCCTAAAGCAGTTTGCCAAGCCTGACATAACTTTGAATTTGAAAATGTCACCTAAAAATCCATGTGAATCTTGAATTCTCTTCCATAACACATTGCTGTTTGTTTTAACAAAACTATTTTTAAGTTGGGGAATGGGAGTAAGTTGGTTGGTGGTCAAACTTAAATTTCCTGTACAATTATTTCCCCAGAAAGACACATTGTGTTTATCATATGGCTTGAAGCACACTCTGTTACAAAAGCATGTGAACAGACTAAGGGAATTACCAGAAATAATAGCTATATAATCTTACTAGAGCAGAAGGTCTGTATTAATCTTTGGCCCCTGATTTACCATGTTCACCCCAGAATACTATATTCTAGACTAATATTTTTAAAATCTAGCTCAATAATGTTACAAAATAAACTCATTTCCCTCCGCTCACATCCCTTAAATCCAGATTATCCTAACTTCCCTGGCTTCACAATTTTTCCAGTTATTCTCACAGAAACCTCAGGAGGCACAGGAGCTTACCTCTTTTGCTTGTCTCCCCTAAATATTTAATTTTTAATTTTTGTTATTTTTACCATTCTACTCATTTTATTTTTTTTATATTTTTAATTGAGGTATAGTTGATATACAATTTTATGTTAGATTCAATGTACAACACAGGGTTCACCAGTAACCCATATTATTAAATCTTCTCCCTAACTAGCACAGTTACTATCAGTTAACATAGGAAGATGTTACAGAATCATTGGCTATATTCTCCATGCTGTACTACCATCCCTATGACCAACTTGTATATGATTGAGAATTTTTATTCCCCTTTATTCCCCCCAACTTTCCACCCACCCATCCCAAACCAAAGACTTTGTTCAACTGTGACAGTTCTCCTGTGCAGTGGAGCTGCAGTTGCTATTGGTGGTCTGTGGGTGGGGCCACCTTTGTGCACATCTGCTTACAGTGGCTGATCTCTGTCAACAGAGGCTCTTTGTAAGTTGTGCTTCTGCAGGGATCATTGTGGGCAGGGATGCCCTCTGCCTGCCATTCAGCGACGGTGATGCTGCTCAGCTAATGGGGTAGGCAGGGCGGGTGCACAGAGGAGTACAGCATGAATCTGGGCAACCCACAAAGGCAAAGGAGCATTTGGAGCAAGCCCCCACACACATCTTCTGAGTTGGACTGATGGAGGGCTAGGAAAGCTGCAAAAAATTCCCTCCACATGCCAGGTGTCAAAGTCTTTCTCTGTCAGGCAGCAATGTCTGACTGCTGCTGGACCCAGTGGGACACGTGGGTGGGTGGGCAGGTGTTCAGAGAAGCATCTGGAGGCTAAGCCTCCAGTGAGGATGATGGAGCAGTCAGGGCTGCTCCTGTAGGACCCAACCAGTTGGGCTGTGAGAAGGCTGTGGGAGATTTGTCCACCTGCTCTTTCTCCTGGGAAGTGTTCAGTCTCAGTGGGATGACAGAACGTGCTTGTCCTTCACAAGTGGCAGGAGTCTCAGTCTCCCAGAGTGCTCCAGCTCTTCCTGGTGTCCAGCCCTGCTGATCTCCAAAGCATGATGTATTGTGGACTCGTGTTCCCAGAGCAGTTCTCCAGGGCCAAGTATGCAGAGTTTCTGAGTGCTTATCCCTTCTCAGCTGCATTCCTCTTCTTCCCATTTCTGGGCTGGGATTTGGGGAGGCTTTGGTCCCACTTGATTCCAGCTATGCCGCTTTACCCTAATCCATGTGGTCTTCTCTTTTTCACCAGGTATAGATGGTCTATTCTCCAGGCTTCAGGTCATTTTCAGGGTTAGTTGTTTTTGCTGTAGTTGCTTCCTTGGTGTGTATGTGGGAGGAAGTTTCTGCCTTGCTTTCCTACTCAGCTATTTTTCTGCCAGAAGTCCCTTTCCCAAATAATTTAAATATTTTAGTCTTTCTCCATAGGATACACTTAAACATATAATTCTTTCTATTACTGTTTTTTCTTTTCCATTTATTTCCGGCAGTCAGCTGTCCAATTTATTGTATTCCTTCCCTGGACTGTTACTGAGTTAATGAACCAGTTTTCTGTATGCATTCTCATTCCCTTTCATTTAGGCTATGTACAGTATTCCTTCAATGTCTCTTCCTTAACTATAAAATTAAGTATTGTTTTTCAGCACAGTCCCTCCCCTATATTGTGTTGACTTTCTTTTCCAACTTAATCCTTTCCTCCTTCCCATTATGGTCCCACTCTACAACTATAGTGAACTGTCCACTCATCCCTGAGCACCCACTAGCTTTCTTGTTCCTAAGCCTCAGCACCAACTAGTCTCACTGTCTCTCACTATTGTGTCCATTTTTCAAAGCCTATCTTACAAGCTTCCTCCTCTATAAATCCTTCCTTGTTCATCCCAGCTAGATGTATGGGATCTCTTTCCCTTTGTTTTATTAATTCATATAACAAATATTTATCAAATGTCTAACATACATCAAATGATAAATTCGTTCTGGGGACTCAG